ACTGGAGCACTGAGTGCCAATCTCAAGAGCATTTCAGTTCTATGAATGACTCCCCCCCCCCCCAAAAAAGAACAACTCTTGGTAAAGTTCTGAATGGAACAAAACACAATTACCCCTGACTTACAAGGTAACTGCATTCCTGGAAAATTAAGAACATATTAAAACCATGCCAAAAACAAGCAAAAAAAAAAGCAGCTTTGTCTGTAAAACAGATCAGACTGAGGATATTACAGATAGATTTCCCACCTACATGAAAGCCACACAAGTGCATTCCTGATGCTGCCAACAAGCACCAGGGCTGCTTCCCAACCTGGGAAAGCAAACATGCTCCCACAAACTTCAAAATGCCCTTTCTGGGGACTGTATTGCACTCAAGAACCAGGACCACCCAGCAGGCAATCTACCCTCCCCAACTGCTTCTGGCAAGCCCAAACCCACCCACCTCACAGGACCCTTGTGCCAACTGTCCTGGGCTATGGAGAAGCTGCAGATCCCTCGTTCCTTCATATTTCTGCTCAAATGTCACCTGCCAAATGGCATCCCCACTAGCACAGGCAGCTTTGTGTCTCCTGCTGAGCACAGCCTCCCCCATCTTCTTCTGCTAGGCCCCTTGCTGAGAAAGGGGAGAAATCAGAGGGATAGAAAGAAAGCAATGGTTAAAGAAAGTTATCAGGGCCCTTGGGACCAAGAATATCAACCACACATGTCCGAAGGTATGCTTTTTCCTAAGAACGAAGTCAGGTAAAAAACTGCAGTATTAACAATGAACACTGTGCTGTTTTCAGTGTTAACAATGAACACTGTGCTGTTTTAACCTATACACAAATATGGTTCAGTCTGAAAATTCCTGTGACTCTAACAATGTGGAGACTCAGGCCTGCAGAGACACTGGGAACTGCTGAAGGCAAAAGTACTGCATCTCCACTGCTCTATTCAATGTCCAAATCATGAGAGGGAGTGGAGTGTGCATAAAAACCTGCCCTCAGGTACCTCCAACAATAAAAACAATGTTATGGTTAATTTCCCTGGTAATTTTCAGGATCAGGTATCATTGACAAAATAGAAATACTAAATGCTGTAAGTATTTTGAGCAAAATTTCACCAAAGTTGCCAAAAGATATAGTATTTTTTAAATAGATTAATGGATTTAACAAGTGTGGAACGACAGTCTCACCTAGAGAAGACAGGTAGCTTCACAGGAAATCAAACTTATCACCTGGCAGGCACATCTAACTCTGCCTTCATTTCTTTTACTCTTCAGAAACAAGTCTAGATAAAAAATCTAGAAATCCGCTTCTTGGCCACTTGTGCCTGAAACATACTGATAGAATACTTAAAGACCTTCTGTTAAAAACCCCCAAAGGATAAGTACAAAGCTTCCTACTTAGGCATATGGTGCAGCAAAAGTTTTGAAGTGAGGCACAGACAAAAAGGTGTTAAATCTTACATATAGGCATCTACCACCAGAAATTATTCCTAACCTGTTATCATCATTTAAGGAGTAAAACTCTTTTTGCCATACTAAGGATTGAACATAGGGGTGCTCTACCACTGAGCTACATCCCTAGCCTTTTTTATGTTGTATTGTGAGACAGTATCTCTTTAAGTTGCCAAGGCTGGCCCTGAACTTGCCATCCTCCTGCCTCAGCCTCTCAAGCAGCTGAGATTAAGGCAAGCACCACCACAACCAGCAAGGAGAAAAACTTAGGTTTTTGAAAATGTATCATACACTTCTTCGTGGCACGTGCATGGATCATACCAAGTCTCCTAAACATTAGTGACCCCTGGGTCTCAAGAGGTATGTGGAAATATGTGCCTCCTAAAGTGAATCACTCCTAAATGCTATCTGCAAATACCTGTCTGCTTTTTATACTTTCTTCTGTCTTTTCCCTTTGACACTTTAACCTTCCCTTTATATGGGCTTACAAGAAATGCCACTCTGCCTTGTTTGTTGGCTAACCACTATTAATAAAATTCAGGAAATGAAGACCAGTTAGAGACAATATGGAGGTGGGGCCCTGATCAGACATCCTTACCACACCTCCCAACCTTGGTGGCAGGCTGGGTTGACAGGACTCTGGGTGAGGCCCAACAGATCCTCCTAAGAACAAAGAACTTGGACATGCTTAACCGTGCAACATTTTTCCCACCTAGTCAGGCCATTTGACCAATCTGAAAATGCTGAACAGTGATATTGTTGCACAGCTGTCACCCATGAGCTGCAACTGCACTTCAAAGGGTTTATGACAATCAAAAAAAGATATAGTATTTTTAAATACAAACCTAAGTGGGGTGCATGTGCTAGGAATCCCAACGTCTCTCTATCCCCTACGTGCACCTGCAAGAGCACTTCCAATGAGGAGTGGATATGGCACAAAAAAAGACATTCTTTTTTTTTTTTTTAGAGAGAGAGAGAGAGAGAGAGAGAGAGAATTTTTTAATATTTATTTTTTAGTTCTTGGCGGACACAACATCTTTGTYKGTATGTGGTGCTGAGGATCGAACCCGGGCYGCWCGCATGCYAGGCGAGCGCACTACCGCTTGAGCCACATCCCCAGCCCTCACTATCCTCATTTTATGAAAGTGAAAGGTCAAAGGGGAGATGGCCCAGAAGAGTCAAGGAAGAGGCAATGAATGGTACAGCAAGCCTGTGCTAGCTGGGGTCTGAGATCTGCTCAGTGAGTACAGCCATAGCTCTCGGAGGAGTGTCTGGAAAAGCCTGGTAAGCAGGGCTTGTGATTAAAAGCAGATTTAAATCCTCACATAAGTGTAACATTTAACTTGAAGAAAAAAATAAATAAATGGATCCAACTCTCTCAAACCACAGGAAACAGGAACATAGTATACCATGAACCTGCATAACAGGTTTCTTCTCTTGTTTAGTTCTACTCTATTGCTGCCTGACTGGGGTCACCTCAGCAGCTGGCAGGCCACATTACCTTTTGCTGCAGGAAAATAAAAAAGCCAAACATCCCTTCCTCTAATTTCAAGCCTGCCTGGTCCTAGACAGAGTCACCTGACAGGTGAAGATGTCTGAACACCCTCTACTCTCTCCATACTGAATTGTGCAAGAGACATAGCAAATAACTAACATGATTTAAGAGTGCAGAAAAAGGTTTTGCTTTCTACTAACTTTCTTTCCACGATAGGCAGACTATATGAGTCAGCTGTTGTCCACATCAACTGTAATGTGTGTGTGTGTGTCTGTGTTTTGATGGTGGTGCTGGGGATCAAACCCAGGGCCTGAGCATGCTAGGAAAATACTCTCACTAAACTACACCTCAGCCCATAAACCTTTTTCAAGTAGTGACTCTGTGTATCTGCTTCATGGACAAAAGCAAATTGCTAGAGTTCCAACAATTCAGGTTAGTTCTCACCAAAATAACTGAGGACAATAACAAATGCTTCCCTAACCAACATGACCAAACCTTTATGCCAAGAGACAGTGCAGCCAACTGAACTGTGCCTAGCACTCACACACTCATCTCTGGATTTCAAGTCCTCAGTTTTGGCAACTTGTGCTACTGAAAACTCAGATGAAGTAAGGACACCATCCACCAAGTGATGCATGTTAGAGGCTAGTCAAGGCCATTGATGGCCAGCAGACCACTCACTGTGGCATCTCACTAGCCTTCAGACAGACACTGCAGAAAACGCCAGAACCAACTGGCAGGAAAAACTGCTGACCACTAGTTCTGAAACAAAAACTACAATTGACCGTTCCAACATCATTAGTGACACCAACCACACAGCTCTCCACAGAGACTTCTGAGACCACCCAAAACAGCCATAGATCTTCTTTTCCTGCCAGCAGTTTCATGTACAATCCTACCCTATTTCTGCAAAGCAGCCACTTGCTGTTTGGATGGAATGGGAAAATGCCCCCTTCTCCCAGCCAATTATCCAGCACTTCAGGTGTTCTACAATGGTCCAGTTACAATCTGACACGCCATGACCACCCTGATTGTTCAACCACAACTGTGCAATGGGTCTCGCCTCCGCAGTGAAGGCTGTGAGCACACCATTCCACACGCAGGTTAAAGATTCACCAGCCTGAAAGAGCCCTTATCTACCCAGGACAGCACCAAGGAAACCAGCCTGGAGTTGAAGCAAGGATCAGCCAGCCCTCCCTCCGCAGGCCACGGGGCCTTGAATGCACACCACAAATCTTGTTTCACGTGAACAGCAGAGTTAAAGGGGACGCTCTGGATTCCCCTGCAGGCCCCAGGCCCTTGAGTGCACACTGCAAGAAGGGAAAAGAGGGAAATTCTGGGAGATCTGACCCCAAATCATGTCTCACAGAATCAGGGGGGGCATTCTGGGCTCCTCCTGAAGTCTGCAGATGCTCCCTCCTTCCATTCCAAGCAGTCAGTCCCGCAACCGGGGTCCCTGCCTACCGAATGCCCTCCCGGCTCCTACCGCAGCCCCCGTCCCCGTGAACAGGAACTGGACTCCGGAGGCTAAGATACAAGCCCTTGCCACCCGCGTGACCTTGACGACGTCTCGCGGTCGCYCAAGCCTCAGTTTCCCCATCCCCACGGCTAGGACTGCGACTGAAGGCAGCCGGATCGCCCTTCTTGCGGGGGCAGACCCCGCGGCTTCGCCCGCCCCCGGAAGCCCGCTCCCCTCCACCCCGCACCCGGGGTGCCGGGCTCCCGAGGAGTGTAGAGCGGAGCGGAGGAGGCAGGAAGCCCAGGCTTCCTCAAGAGCCCGGCATCCCGGGCGGACTTCCGGACTGCGGTGGCCGCGGGAGGGTCGGGGCAGGAGGAAGCTAGGGACGCCGCGGGGCAAAGCCAGGGCCTGAGAGGAGCGCCCGGCCCTCTCCGCCCGGCCCGGCCGCCCAGGCCCTCTCGGCCCCGATCCCGGCCCCGCCCGGCCCTTGCCTCGTCCGGCCCCGCCGTCGCCGCAGCGGCCGAGTGTCCCCGCGAGCCCTACGCTGCCCTGTCCCCGGGCCCGACCCCAGTCCCGACCCTGGCAGCTGGCTCGTCCCGCGCCCTCACCTCAGCGGCGGCTGCTCCGAGCCAGGCGTTGGTTTCGCTCCCACAAGATGGCGGCGCTGACGGCGGCCACGTCAGCGCCTGCGGCCGCGAGGCACACTGGGAAGAGGCAGGCACGGCTGAGGTCACGCCCACAACTCAGCGCACGCGTACTGACTATAATTGGGCTGTGAGGGGCGGAGCCAGGGACGCCCCGCTCCCGGATCGCAGCCCTTGCTCGCACCCGCGCTCCCGGTCTCGGAGCGCGTCCCTCGGCCGGCCGTCGGGCGTGGCTTCTGAGTCGGTGGGCGCGTGCGCATGCGCTCCACAGTGCCCAGACTCCAGCCCATTTCGCGGATGCGGAGACTAAGATTGCTCTGCGTCTTTCTTGCCCCAAAGCGGCAGGCCCGGGGTGTCACCCTTACCGTCCACAGCCAGGCAGTGGTCCCGAGTTCTGGGAAAACCATGTGAGGACCAAAAGGGTGCGATATCCCTCTCAGGATTCTCCAGGGTCCCAGATTCTCCTGCTGGAACCGGACACTGAGGAAACCAATGTCACTGACAGGTGGCCAAAACGGTTAGAGACGCAGGCCAAGTATCAGACACCCACTATGTTCCTGTGCTAGCTTCATTACCCTGGAGACTGCAATAACCAGAGCAGACTTGTGCCCACTCTCCAGAGCCAACGAGGGGGAGTAAGGGTCAGAAGCTAGGTGGGGAGCCGGCTGATCAGATTCAGTAGGTGACAGAGGCCAGGGTGGGGACATCACTGCCCCAGAGTGGTCAGGGTCCGCAGGGGACAGAGGCCAGCGTACAGACCAGGCTGCCCTGAAGGGTGGTCAGAGTGGCCTCTGGTAAGGTGGCCTTCACTGGGATGCAGGTGCAGCAGAGGCACCCTCCCCCCTTGACCCCTACGACAAGAAAGCAGCAGAGGACCATCAGAGCCCTTCTCTATATTTGAAGGAATGAGACCTGGCAACCTTTGTGTTGGAGGGCAGTGGAGGCTCTTTTCAGCCCAGTACCCTGTGTGTTATGGAGAGTTAGGAAGTAGGTGGTCATATRGATCCTGGCCCAGTTACCCACTGTGTCCAGGCTGAGGCAGGAGGCAGGGCTCAGCTCAGGGGTTTCTGGGCCTGGCCAAAGACTTCTGCTTACTACCCTGTCCTTCTCGCCCACTCTCTCCCTTGGTCAGGGCATCTGGTGGCTGACACTTCTGGAAACTCCTCTGCAGCTGATCTTGTGGAGGCTGCAGAGATCCCAGGCAATGGTGACCCCTGTCCCTGAAATGCAGCCCCTTCCTCTGCCTGGGCTCTGGCATGAGTCTCACTGCCATCAAGGAGCAGTGGGTGGCTGTTTGGAGGTTGTTCTCTCCCACCCTAAACACAACAAATGCTCACACAAAGCCTCGGGAGGGTGCAGAGACCCACTGGACTTTCGTGGTGCTGGAGAACCCCCACATCCACAGGGGGACCTGCAATCCCAGCCATCCTTTGAGGCAGCAACGACGGCCACTTTAGAGGCATGCAGACCAAGAAAGGGGGTATTCAAAAGAAAAACTGAAAAAAATGCAGACAGGGTGATGGACTTGCAGATTACTGTGATTTGGTCATTACACACTGTATGTACTTATTGAAATGCCTCAGGTATCCCATAAACATATGCAATTACTATATGTTGGTTAAAAATGTGTTTTTTTAAAGAGAGAGAGAAAGAGAGAGAATTTTTAATATTTATTTTTTAGTTTTCAGTGTACACAACATCTTTATTTTATTTATATGTGGTGCTGAGATTGAACCCAGTGCCCCGCGCATGCCAGGTGAGTGTATTACCGCTTGAGCCACATCCCCAGCCCGGTTAAAAAAATGTTTTAAAAGTTCTTGTATGTATAAAAAAATACATACATAAATCAGTAAATAAAACATTGCTATGTTCCAGCAAGCAATCATACCCTAAGTAGGGCTAAGCCCTCAGTAAAACTGCACTGTCTTGGTGGTGTTTGAGTGTTAAAAAAATTACATATTCACTTAAAAGATTTATATATTAAAAATTAGACAATAAAAGAAATTTCCATTTTTTTGAGAATAGTCAGTAAAATGAAAAAAAAAATAAAGAAAGGAAGAAGTTTATTTAAGATACATTCAGTTAAAAAAAAAAAAAGCCCGAGGCTGGGGGTGTGACTTAATGGAAGACCCCTTGCCTACCATGCACCAGGCACTGGGTTTGATCCCCAGCACTGCAAGAAAAACAATAATAAAATGAAATAAGAATACATTTGCATTGCTTTGAATGTGGAAAAAAATGAGACAAATTGCTCAATGCCCTCCTTAAACTAAGAAATGGACCTTCCTTCTTGTTGGGATGTCTGTTTGGGATCCATCCTAGGGTAAGAGAGCCAGGCAGGTGTAGAGAGTCCTGGAACAGGTCCTTGCCAGAAAAGCTGCAGGGGAAACTGGCTTTGCTCCCTGAAGTAGTTTGGGGACCAGAAGCCTCTCTTTCCGGAGCACCGAAATGGGAGCAGCTTCGGCCAGGAGGGGGCGAAGTGAGTTGGCTGGAGGGAGCTGTTTCTGTGGAGGCAGCCTGGAGACCCCTGGTGCAGGGTGGCACCTGCACCAGCCAGCTCAGCGCCTAGCTTTTAGCCAGGGCTCCTCCCCTCAGTGCCTCCCTGTGCCTGAGGACTGGGTCAGAGACAGGGATGCTGAATAGACTGGCTTCCTGGAGAGAGTAGCTAGAGAGATGGATGGTCCAGAGTCAAGGGGTGAGGCAGGAGTGCCCAGGAGGTGAGAACCAACAGAAGACCAGTGACAGTTGTTTGTACCCAAAAGGATCCCACTCTTCACCCAGACATTTTGTGCAGCTTCTGTGTACAGACTGAGGTGGATGGCATTTGTGCCAGGCTTCAGGTGCTCAGAGTAGTTGTATCTGTACCTGAAATGGATCACAGCTGGGATGGAGCCCCTAGATCTGCCTGTGGCCAGCTGGTTGGCTCTTTCCTCAGGCCCTTCCCTGCCTCTTGGGACTTGATGGCTCTGACGCCTCTCTGCAGGTTGCAGTGTTATCTGTATTTCTTTGCCCAGGAGCTCACTATTGAACCAGGTAGTCCAGCCTGTTGTGTTGGTTGTCCACCACATTGGACAGATCAGAGGCCACCTCTTTGGGGTTTTCTGCCCAACTCTGCCCTTCCATGAATTCTCTCTTCCCACTCACCCAGCAGGAGACTCAGAGCAGGCTAATTTTGGAGGAATCTCAAGCTCAGCTGAGCTGGGACGGTTCTGTGTGGTATCCTGATTCTCAGTTGGATTTGGTCTTTTGTCCACCATACAGACACCACCATACATGCACTATACAAGCACCACTGTACATGCACTTCAAGGCACCACCATATGTACACCATACAAGCACCACCATACGTGCACCATAAGGCACCACCATACATGCACATACAGGCACCACCATACATGCAACATACAAGCACCACCATACATGCACATACAGGCACAACTATACATGCACAAACAGGCACCACTATACGTGCACCAAACAGGCACCACCATACGTGCACCAGAAGACACAACCATACATGCACAAATAGGCACCACCATACATGCACCATAAGCCACCACTATACATGCACATACAGGCATCACCATTCATGCGCCATAAGGCACCACCATACATGCACCAACATCAGCATATGAGTACAGGAAGAACTTTATGCCCTTAATGGCTGCCTGGAGGGTGGGGTGGGGAGAGAACCATGCCCTGCTCTCTTATCCAGAGCTGTGACACTGTGAGATATGTATTTGGTCATCCTTAAGGTCCTGGGAGTCTCTTAAGGGCTGTGATTTCCTGCTGCTGAGCCCCCTGCTGACTGGCAGCCCAGGCAGCTTCAGGATAAGGCTGGTCCCTGAAAGACCAAGGCAGGGTCAGCCTCCAGGGAAGAGAGAGGGGCTTCGGGCTGAGTGGAACACCAGTGGCCAGTGATTTAATGTGTAACACCAATGGAAAGAAATCTCCATAAACCCCCAAAATCACAGGGTTCTGAGAACCTGGTGGCTGAACCTGTGGTTCCTGGAGTATGGAAGGCATGAAGCCCTCTTCCCCTACCTCACTGATGTGTCTCTTCATCTGCATCCTTTGTAATATCCTGTGATAAAGCAGTAACTGTAAGGAAGTATTTCCCTCTGCTCTGTGAACCACTTGAGCAAATTAATCCAATCCAGGGAGGGTTGCAGGGATCCCAATTTATAGCCAGTTAGGGCAGCCTGGCTGGCATCTTAGATGGGGGTTTCCTTGGGGACTGAGCCCTCAATCTGTGGAATTCGACACTGTTCACAGAATCAGAGCTGAATTGAGCTAGAGGACACCCAGCTGGTGTCCAGTGCTGCAGAATTGCTGCTAGCATATAGGGAGAAAATCCTGTGGTGTGGGGTCACAGCAGCCTCCTGCACTGGGTGCTGAGAGTATGGGAGAAGCTGAATTTGATTTTTCTTTTCTAGGCTATCCCTCCCAGAAGATCAGAGGCCAGGTTGAGAATGGAGATGGGGTGGACTCAGGAACCTCTCTCACCTCTGGAACTTTCAGGCAATTTCTCTTTCCCCTTATACCTGCTCCAGCCTCATTCTCTCCATCCCATGCCAGCCTAGAAGGGTGTGTGGCCTTGTTGCACAGGCCAGGTTTCCTCTGCTGGGACAAGGCCTGGGGATGGGGCCCCTGATGCCCCCTGAGGTGTATCTCAGTCCTGGCACAGCAGCCCACACTGGCAGGCCAGCACCACCAGGCAAGGTGGTGTTCTGTGCGGTCCTAGCCTCATCCTATAGCAGGTGGACAGGTGTGGAATGGTGAGGGAGAGTCGGCAGCAGGTTTGGCTTTATCAACCTCTGATTGACATTTAGCTTTTTCTTCCATTTTGAATGCAGGCAACATTGCCCAAAGCAGTATTAGCAGGACCTGTGTTTTTAAAAACTCTTTGGTTGGCACATAATAATCTTGTGAGCTTATGGGGTACATTGATAGTTGACAGATGTCTGCGACTTGTAATGATTGTCAGGGTAATTAGCATTCCCATCTCCTCAGACATTCCTCATTTCTCTTTCGGGGCCTTTGAACCTTTCTCTTCTCATTCTTTAAGAA